CTATTTCATTGGGTGCATAGATATTTATTATGGTTAGGTCCTCTTGTTGGATTGCCCTTTAATCATTATATAATGTCCTTCATTGTCTCTTTTTTGTTGGCTTTTTCCTTAAAGTCTATTTTATCAGGAATAAATATTGCCACTCTTATTCTTCATTGGTTTCCATTTTTTGATATGTTTTTCCATCCTTTCATTTTTGCTTGTTTTTGTTTTTGTGTCTAAGGTGTATCTCTTGTAGGCAATATTTAGATAGGTCATATTTTCCTGTTTATTCTGCTGCTCTGTTTCTTGACTGGTAAATTTAATTCATTTACATTCAGTGAAATTATTGATAGGTATGGATTTGCTGCTGTCATTTTGCTGTGTTTTGTGTGTGCACATGTGCATTGTATTGAAAGTTTCTTTGTTCCATATATTTTCCTGTGCCAGGTCCATTTTGTTTACAGATTTTTATATCATTTCCTTAGTTGCTCTTGTTTTAGTATTTACTGTGACTATGAATTTCTTTTCTATTTGGTGAGACGGTTTATTAATTTTCTTTGAAGTTACTCTGTAATTTATTGTTATCTTTCTGTATTTAAAACAGTTTGTTCTATCTTGCTAACATCTTGATTTCCTCTCCATTTGAAAGTTCTGTAACTATATAACTTATTTTCTCTTTTTGCTTTGTAGTTGTCATTGTTTACAAATTGACACTTCTGTTTCCCTATTTTCAGTGTTACAGGTTTATTGTATTTTTTCCATCTCATTAAAGAATGTCATTGGAATCTGGATTGAGATTGCATTATATGTGTAAATTGTTTTCAGCAGTATTGACATTTTGACATTGTTATATCTTCCTATCCAGGAGCATGGTATATTCTTCCATTCTGTATGTCTCTTTTGGTTTTTTGTAGTAGTGTTCTTTGTTTCTATGGTTATATTTATTCATAAATATTTCATCCTGCTTAGCTTCTGAATCTGAAGCGATTGGGTCAATTCAGGCTGCTTTGGTCATATACAATGAAATGCCACCTTCTTCTCACCACCCAAAGATAAAGCTCTTGGTATGGTGGGTTGTTGGCACAGAAAGGTGCACAGGCACACTAGTCCTGTGGCTTGGATTGCCTTTACCTTTCCTGGGCCTACAGCATTACTGTCCCTGAGGTGTGTTCATCCTTGAGACATCAGCTTCCAAGCAGGTAACGGCAGTGGGGCACTGGCTTAGATATTAATTACTGTGCTGGTCCCACAATTGAAACATCACTGGGTGTGAGGAGGCTTCTAAGGCCTGAATTAGTGTCATCTGTGAGTCAAGGGCCACAGGTTTATTTTATTTTTGATATTTCTATATCTGCGTTGATTTCTGGGCTATGTTATTTGTGTTTTAATCTCTGATAGTGTTGTCTGTCATTATTAGTTCTCTGTCTGAAGAGCTCCTTTTAATATTTCAATTAAGTTTGTTCTAGTTTTTTAAAATTCCCTTAATTTCTGCTTATCTAAAAATGTCCAATTTTGCTATCATATTTGAGGGACAACTTTGCTGGATATGCAATTCTTGTTTGGCAATTTTTTCATTCAGGGTTTTATTTATGTCATCCCATTGCCTTATTGTGAGGCTGTGGGCTAATGTGTTAGACTGCAAAGTCATTTGAACTGCAAGGTCGGTCATTCAAGCTCGCCAGCTGACCCTTGGTCACCCTATACAGGGTCGCTATGGGTCCGAATCAACTCGATGGTACTTAACAACTATAACAACATTGCCTTATTGCCTACATAGTTTCTGCTAAGAAATGAGAACTTAGTCTTATTAGTTCTCCTTTGTAAGTGATTTCTTTTTTTTTAATGCTGCCTTCAGGATTCTTTGTTTTGAATTGTGGAAAATTTGATTATTATATGTTTTGGTGATATTTCTTTTGAAATTTATCCTATTTAGAATTCATTGAGCTTCTTGAAGATATATCTTCTCATCTTTCATGATAATAGGAACATTTTTTAAAAAATCTTCAACAATTTCTAGCTTTTTTTTGTCTCTTCCTATTCTGGAATTTCAGTTATACATAAATTATTCTTGATTGTTTCATATAATTCTTAGGTTTGTTGTTCTTTTTTTCCTGATTGTTCTTCTGACAGTTTAACATTAAGAGACTTGTCTTCAATTTTGCTAATTATGTCTTCCATTGATTGAATTTTACTCCTTTGTCCTTCCAAAACATTATCTATTCCTGAAATTTTTGTATTAACCTTCTCAATTTCTATTTGCTGTTTTTATATGGTTTCTAATTTTCCGTTTATTTTGCCAGTTTGTTCTTGCAGTGATTCCCTGAAATTTTCTTTGTTTTCGAATTTTCTTCTAACTATTTATATTTTTAAATGACTGACATACATTGTAATGATCCCTCAGTGAGACACTGAAGAGAATGGTTCTGTGACTCTTCATTTGATAAAGATGACTAGGAAGCCCCAAAGCTTGGAAACGAGTAAGATCCCCCTTTAAAATTGAGACTCTGTTTCTGATCATTCAGAAACTATGCCTAAGTTTAATGACTTAAAAATTTACTAGCATTTATCCTATAAAAGTGGAATCATATCAGAATACAGTACAAAACCCCCAAACCAGAACATCCCCAAACCACTTGTGATCTACATACGTGTTCTTTACCATTCACGCTCACTGCATATGGTTGTGAATCTAGTTTACCTACCCCTTGCTACATAAAGAGAAGTGAATAGAGAAATAATGTTTACATCGCCTGGGAGCTTCTTAGAAATGCAGAATCTTAGGCTCACTGCAGATTGATCAGATCAGAAGCTCCATTTTAACAAGTTCCCTTAGATGGCTTGCATGCCCAATAAGTCTGAGAAATACTGCACTACAAAAACAGATTAGCATCATAAGATCTTCAGATTGTAATGGTCAGTTCCAGAGTATAAAATAATTACATATGAAATATTTAAAGGGAAAATGAGACAGTGTCTTGTTGCTTGCTCATTTTTGTAATCCTATAAAAAACGTCAGTACATTAGAAAACAAATAAGGAAACAAAAAACAAGTAGAATTTATGGAAGTAAAAAAATATGTAATTGTTTAAAAAATCTTTTAAAGCCTAAGTGAATGGTTATGAGATAAATCAAACACAAAAATCTGTTGTTTGTTCTTTCAACTGACTCTTACTCCTGGTGATTTTTTTTCTTCTATGTCTGATCTTTGGTTGTGATCTTAATTTTCAAAAAACCTGGATGCCTGCATTGAGATTATTTCTTCTGTAGATGATCTGTATTTATTTCTGCCAGGAGTCAAGAGCTGCTATTGGTATGAGAGCACTCCAGCTTTTGCCCATAGTTTTTGACTCACTGCAGGTGTCTCAGGTTCACACCATCCCCAACTGCCTTCTCTCTGCTCTAAGTTCCAGTTTCCCAGTACAACCGAAGCTGGCACTTGTCTATAAGGGAACACCTTCCGTTTTGAACATGAACTATTTCAGTTTTAGATCTTGGTTTGTTAATTTGTTCCACTTCTGTCTCTTGGAGCTATGCAATAAGAAATATATTTTCTATGTGATCTAGTTATTTTGTAGTGGAAACACCCTACAAATTAAATAAAAATTAAATTAATTTAAATTAAATAAAAGTACAACAAACCCAGAAACTCATGCTAAGCTATTTTTTTTTTTTTTTGCCAACATTCAGTTCTGAGCATTATTTATTTTTTGAAAGGGCAAAAGTTGATTTCTCAGTTATTTCTAAGTCAATAAAATATAACTGGACATCTTTCTTGAAAATATGCCAGCAAGGGCTAAAAGAGAAACCTGACATTTTGAAAAGCTTTGGAATTAACTTAAAACACCTCTTTACTTCATGTACATATCCACACAACCATTCCCACACGCCAATTTCTACAAGATAATTGAAAAGGACAACTTGGTTCTCCATTGGATTGAGGCTAAAAGTTTGCGATTTAGAACTGGAGCTAATGTAAGTGTCTACTCAAGCTGGTTCTTGCCAAATTCCTTAGGATTATTTTCAAGTCTTGGTAACACTAATTCTAGGGATGAGAGAGAGGCAGAACCTGTCCCCTAGCCTCCATTTGTAGGAGGTCTACTTATATTCCAAAGGCCCAGTATGTAGTGTGAACACCTGCCAGGCCCAGAAAGTATCAGTTGATTCCTAAATTCATGTAGGTAAGTAATCATTGCATCCTTTTAGGGGTGGGTGGAGGCAGGCCTGAATGCTTTCTTAAATTTTACTTTTCTAATGTGCTGTATGCAGCCGGGTAGCATAGTGGATTATGAGCTGGGCTGCTAACTTCAAAGTCTGCAGTTTGAATCTACCAGTCACTCCATGGAAGAAAGATAGGGCTTTCTGCTCTCTTAAAGATTTACAGCCTTGGAAACCATTTACAGGGTTGCTGTGAGTCAAAACCAACTTGACAGTACAAAACCATCCCCACTAGCACTGTGCTGTAGGATTGGTGGTGCGGCAATGTAGGATAAGCACTGAACTGCTAACTATAATAAGGTCAGTAGTTCGAATCACCAGCTGCTCTTTGGGAACTGTGTACAGGGTCACTATGAGTTAGAATTGACACAACAGCACTAAACAACAACAGAGTTGTGCTATAATACCACTTTTAGTGCCTAAAACGGAATGTTTTCGACATTCTGACATTTAAAAGTTTTCCTCTCTTTAGTTGTTTAACTTTAAGGAGCCCTGTAGCATAGTGAGCTACACATTGGGCTGCTGACCTCAAGGTCAGAAGTTCTAATCTACCAAAGGTTCTGAGGGACAAAGATGAGTCTTTCTGTTCCCATAAAGATTTACAATTTCAGAAATGCTATTCAGGGTCACTATGAGTTGGAAGCAACTTTACACAACACACCCCTTCCCCCGCCACCCCCCCAGTTATCTAAATTTAGTTTTTCTCATTCTTAATGTACTTCCGAAAATCCCTACCAGCAAAGTTTAATGAAATAAAGATTCAGAATTTTGACCCTCCTTCTTAGAGGCTACCCATGACTTACACAGCATCCAGCTTTGTCCCATTGAAAGCATGTCCTTGGATTGAAGTAAAGCCATTGTTGTATAATTTCCTATAATCAACACAAAAAGGAGAAATCAGTGACCTGTGCTAGGTGGTGCTGGGCCTTTTCTTGAGGGTTAGGCTTCTTTTCTTCACTGTGTGATGGTTCTTAGGTTCCACAGATGAACTCTACAAAAAAATTTCATGCCTTGTTTGGGACATAAAATGTCAGTTCACAGTTACAATGCCCATTATTCAGAATTAACTCGTAGTAACATTTAACTATTTATCGGAAACAGATTCACTGTGAGGTTTACTACCATTAAAGAATTTTAGAAATGTCCCATGCATATTTGAAAAAAAGAATTTAAGGCAAGAGTTAATCCAATGGTAGAAGTATTCATGGGTGTCTCAGGATCTGATGTCACAGGAAAGGTCTGCCTAGAGAGTTCTTGCTCAAAACTAAAGCAAGGTGAGTAGGTAAATTCACCTGTGGTAAGAAGGAAAGATGACCAATGACACAGGTCACATCTTTAAATGAATACAGGCACCAAGGAGTCATGTAATGGGCAAGCAGATTCTGTCTGAGGCAATTATAAATGAAATGAACTAGCAAACTGGAGGGTGTAATAATCATTCTAGAGGTAATAGACTTGATTCAGTCTTGTCAATGTCAAACAGGAATGTGACTCATCTTCACATCTTTTGATTTTTCAAGGGAGCCATGTGTTCAGATATTTCTTAGAAATCTCTCAATTGTAAAAGGTATCTGAGAAGTGATTTCAGAAGAGAGTCATGAAAACCCATGAGAGAGAACAATATCAGAATTCAAAGGAAGTTATCAGTAATAAAATAGATTTAGGCTGATAAAATAAGTTTAGACAAAGAATCAAAAAGTCACTGTTTTATCTTTGGTAAAGTTTCAATGGTATGATGTAAGTTCAGGTTTGGTTTGGGTGGGTTGCTACATAACACTGAAGTCATAGTGTTGCTCATGGTTGTTGATTATGAACTTGTAGTTCACTAGTTTTCTCCAGCATCACTTAGTAGCTCAGGATAGGAAGGAAGAACATGACTGATTGAACTGACTTAAGGCTGGAGCTGGTGTGGTGCTGTGGGTTAATGTACCAGACTGCAAAGCCCTTTGAACTGCAAAGTCAGTGGTTCAAGCTCACCAGGTGCTCCTGAAACCCTATATAGGGTTTCTGTGAGTCGGAACTGACTTAATGGCACTTAACAACATCAAGAACTAAAAATGACACGGCACCAACCATCCCTCTCACAACACTCTCTGCTTTACTATTGGGTTTGATCATTCTTTGCAATGGCCACACAAACTCAAACACCATACTCAGGATTATGGTCATTAATAGGAAAGTTAAGAGGCTACAATTTGGGGTCAGAAATGCTCAGGGCATAGCTGTTCCAGTCAGTCAGCTGCTGATAAATGCCCACAAAACACACTACTCCACCATAAGCCTCAGCCTAACGGCACTCAAGTCTAGCTCCATGGGTCAGCAAACCTAGCCCACAACATAAGTGCCTGGAGGCACCTCACTTGCAGGCTTCCTGTCCCAAATCACTCAGCTTCACTTGTTCCATGAGCTGGGAAATCCACTTCTGTGTCATGCTCTGGGTTTTGGTTCTGCTGCTGCGACTCCTCTGACACTTGTCCAGTGTCAGTCTTACTGTTCCTGGGTCAAGGAGGTCCACAAGATACACTCCACTCCTGAGTCTTCTTTGATGATAGTGAGAGTCCCCCCTCCTTCTTCAGAGACAGCTCATTTTAAAGCCATGCTAGAGTTTCAAGTTTTTACAATCACAGTGAGCTCTGCTAACATCCACAGTGGAATCATGCCATCTTATCAGTATCTTCTCTTTATTTCTCTTACCCAGACCTAGCAGGGCAGAAATGTCATTTGGTGGGTGTAGCAGACTGTGATTAGAAGAGACATTAGAGAATCCACGACACCACAGTAGGAATGTGTAGAAAATCTGTAGTATTGAGATCAGAGTCATAGGAAACAAAGAGGATGCTGTAAAGACTAATTGCAGTAAGGATATCTGGATAGCATCAAGCAGGAATTGAAATCAGTAAGGTGTCCAAGAATGGCAAAAATGAAAAAGAGGAAATGTAACAGAGTTTGAGAATATGAACTTCAAAGGAAGTGAGGATTTCCCCCTCAAAAATGTAGAAACAATCTGGGAAGGACCATGGATAGCCCATGTTATTCCTAACTAGTTTTTAGGAGATCTGAGGTTCTCTCTCTTAGATGTTTAGTAGGCATTGTACTAGGTGTGGGACAATATGAAGTTTTCAATTGAGAGAAATGCCTAGGATATGGGATCATCAGAGGTAAAAAAAATACTTGAAAAAATAACATTTTGTAAAGAGATCTTAAATATATGAGTTTATAATGGGTGCTACAGGGTCGCTATGGGTCGGAACTGACTCGACGGCACTTAACAACAACAACAATGGGTGCTAGATGGTACAATGAAACCCAGCACAGTGGAGGTCAAAGGCTTTGAGATTTGGACTGAGCAGGCTACGATCCCAAGTCTTTGCTTTACTATCTGGAAAAGAAATAGTGTCTGAGAAGGAACTCCTGTCTTTTCAAGAGAGCTCTCCCTTGTTGAACTGAGAATTAGCTGGAATGTTCCACTCTGGATAGAGGCTCAATGATTTAAGAAACTTAATAGGAGTAGCTTGAAAAATAGGACCTTAGGAGGGCTGCATGGAGGCTGGGATCAGGTTTGCTAGGGATAATTTCTATCAGATTTGTGACTGATAAAGAACCCTTTGACTGTAGTGTGACCAGTGAAAAGAAACTGGAGTGACAATCCATAGTCTGCAATGCCTGAATTTAGGCAGTGCTCAGGGAATGAAGAGAGAAGGTCCTTCAGAGGCATCCCTTCCTCTTCATGAGAGGACTTGTCTACCATGGTGGAGAGCTTATCTTTTATACTTCTATTCGATCTTCTCTACATTTTGTTAATTTCCCTCTTTATGGGCAGCGAGGGGAGGGGAGGGTCTATTTCTGAACATCTAAAGAGCAGAGCCCTTCCATGTGAAATCATGATGATAGATGGTAACACTGTGTTGCTGATTCAGTTTTCCCTCACAGGAGGTTATAATAGTTGGTGATTATGAAGTTAAAGTGTAAGCGTGTGCAAAGGCCATCGTGACACCATTTTCATAGTAACCTTGGGAAAATCACTTACCTGCAGGTTCTTCCTTTATAGACTATAGAAAATTCTAAAAGGCCTGTAGGCCAAATCTGATCCATTGCCTGTTATTGTAAATGACGATTTATTGGAACACAGCCATGCTCATTCTTTTATATATTCTGTATTGCTGCTTTCACCCTGCAATGACAGTTTTGTAATTGATACAGAGGCCATGCGGTCTGTAAAGCCTAACTGGCACTTTACAGAAAAAAATGTGCCAACCACGGCAGCTGTAAGAAAATGTTCCTTCAACACTAGTTGTCATTAAGTTGATTTCAATCTGTGATGATCCCATGTGTGACAATGGAGTCCTACTGTGGCACTGTAGGGCTGTTAACAGGTTGGTGGTTCAAGCCCACCAACTGCTCCTCGGAGGTCATTATAAGTCAGAACCAAATCGATGGCACTTAACAGTAACAACAAAAATAACAATGTATGTCAAAGATATCTGAACTTTGTAGAGTTTTCAATGACTTATTTTAAAAAAATGTTTTATTGTGAATTATGTGATAGCTTACATGGGAGAACATTAGTTTTACATTCATCCTATCGTCTATCATTTCATTGCCATGGATACAATCTTCTTCATGTCAATGGCTGATTTTTCAGAAGTAAATGTCTTCCTTCTAAGACATCTCAAGGTAGATTCAAACCACTAACTTTTGGTTAGCATCCAAAGACTTAACTGTTTATGCCACCCAGGGAATGCCTTTGTCTTTTTACTGGAAACCTTTTTGTAGTCTATAAAGTAACATACCATAAGATAATACTCTTATTTAAATATGTGAAACCCTTTGTAGAATGTAAAGTACATAGTATAAGTTAGTATGATTCTTGGGTGGCTTGTGAAAACATGACAGTGGCTCAAATAAAAATGCAGTTGTTGGCCAGTGCCATGGATTGAATTGTGTTCCCTCAAAATATGTGTCAACTTGTCTGGGCCATAATTCTTAGTACTTTGGCAATTACGGGATGGTCCCCCAGGATGTGATAAACTAATAAAAGGACTAATGGTGGGATTTTGTTGTTTCTAAGTGCCATCAAGTCGATTCTGATGCATAGTGGCCCTGTATAGGTTTTTCAAGTAGTGGCTGGTGAGTTTGAACCACCGACATTGGGGTTCAAACAGACTTTGTGGTCCAATACTTATCCTACAGTGTCACACCAGAAATTCCATAAGGGTGGGCTATTGTTGTTAAATGCAGTTGAGTCAGATCTGACTCAGTGACCCTGTGTAGGGTTTCTGAGGAGCGAGGCTGGTGGCCGCTGACATTGTGACTCAAACTAACCTTGCAGTCCAGTGACATTCCATCAGGAACATTATAGGATGTAAGGGAGAGTCCCAGGGGGTATGGCATGCAACACCTTTTATCTTACAAGAAATAAAAAGAGAAAGCAGTGACCAAAGAAGGCAGGAAGGAGGAACCTGTTACCACCAGGAAAGAAGATCTGGGAGAGCAGTACATCTTTTGGACCTGGGATCCCTGCACTGTTAAGCTCCTAGATCTAGGGAAAGAGTGATGCCGAGACATGGAAAGCTCCAAGGAAAACATCATCCACAGATGCTGAAAGGAGACAAGGACCTTGTGAGAGAATACACTTCTGTTTTTTAAAAGCCTTGTTATTATCAGCACCAGCTAACTTGGACAACCAGAGTGCAACTGACAATACTTACAGTGTCAAGGTTTCATTGCACAGCCCTCGAAAAGCATTCACAGGAATTGAAGTCATGTAAGGGTTGTCTGTAATTTCACTGCAAAAGAGAAGGACATAAATACTTGAAGAAAAAAAACAACAACAAACTTGCTCTTTATGCTGATTGAGTTTAGGGCTCTTACTGCACATATGTACTTCAATGACTAACCATACACAATACTTAAAAAATCTTGTCTCTTTTTCAAGACTCATCAAATCTCCTTAGTCACTGGTGGCTCAGAAGTTCACTGAGATGGTGAGAGCTGTCCAAGATGCCCCAAATATGCAGTAAGTGAGTGAGATATGGGTGGGGGTTGAAGTTCCTGACTTAATCCTGGTCTAGAAGAAGAGTAGGTGGATCCCCGGGGCTTCTGACTTTGCAACACATACTGTGTCTATAGCAACAGAGGTTTCTAAGTGTGAGATCTCTAACAGGGGTTAGGAGAAATAGATTAATGCATTTCATTTCAAGGATGTTACTTAAAAAATCTTCTACTTGCACAACTCTGCCAGACAGATGTTCCTCTAGAACATTCCTGAGCCAGCCTAATACCTGGAAATCTTCCTGTATCTTGAGGTGTGCACTTCTGCAATAAGAAGTTGAGATTACTTTTTGTTCTGGTAAAAACTCCGGAGTTTGGATCTTATTACGCCACATTTTTGCTGACTCTGTAGTGCTAACTCAACCTCTGAGTATATCCTTTCTCTTCTGTACCATTGTTGTTATTACGTGTGGTCAAGTCACGTCCAACTCATAGTGATCCTGTATAGGGTTTCCTAAAGAGCAGCTGGTGGGTTTGAACTGCTGAGCTTGTGGTTAGAATTTCAGTGCTTAGTCTATGGTGTTGTGCCAGGGATAAGACAATGAACCAGTGTTAATGGATTTGGAAAAGAGCTCATGGTAATCAATCAGAAGTCACAGGAAGTAGTTTGGACATCACTACTGAGTGCTCTTTGAGGTTTTGATTTGTTTCCTTATTTGTCAAATGGAAAAAAAACAGCCTAAACCTTCCTTTTATGCTGATGTGATGACTGAGAGAAGCAAATTTGATAAGGTATGGAACAGTATTTACTATAAATAAAAAATAAGGTATAGTTATTATCAAATTTTCCTTCTACACAATCATTTCTGCCAGCAAACAAACATGCCATACTTTCTTTTATTAAAAACTTGCACACTTTTCCTCCTAACTCAATATCCTCTTCAAGTTACTCCAAACTTTTCTGTTCCCCTTTTAAAAGCAGACTTCTAAAAAGTTTCTTCTGGCCATTCCTTATAGTTTTCTCTAGGTAAGTATCTCTTGAGCCCACTCCCATCACTCTTCTGTACCCCTAACACTCAGCTGGAGGTTTTCTTGTCAGAATCCCGCAACCCCAATGCAATAGTTTTTTCTTAGCCCTTGCCTTACTTCATCCATCGATGCATCTGTCATTCACTCCTACTTCGTAACAATTGCCACACTTGCCTTCAACCAACTCCCATGGTTGCACCCTAGTACTTGCCATTGACAAAAGGGACATCACCTAACACTGCATGCGTGCATACTTACAGTATAAAGAACACATCAGTGGAATACACTTTGGTCAGGTCAGGAAATACTTTAAGTCCAGTGTTGAAAATTCCACTAAATTACATAAAAAACAAGCAAAAAGAAAACAGTTTAGGTAAGGAAATCCATAGGTAAAAAATATGTAATAGCTGATAGGATAGGTTTCCAGTCAGACTGGAATGATAATGGATAAATTCTAACTGTTGGGTGAGATAGGGTTTTTCCATGGTACAAGAGTCCAACCAACCCAGTGCCAGCACATCTGTTCTTCTTAAAGGAATCTGGGGATTCTTTAAACCAAATGAATTAGAAGATAAAAATAAGCTGTGAAGTTTCTTTCTATATGTGTGAGGAAGAAAGAGAGTTTTGGGCTATGTTTTTAAATAAGATAGTTCTATGTGGGAGGGCAAACACAAGGATGGGGTCTGAACACAACAAGATGACCCAACTCCAAACCAGGATTCCCCTTTCACATTCTACATTATATTGTGTTTAGTATTTTGCCAAGAATGGCCTTCTCCCAGCAGCTACCTGGGAACAGCAGTACCATTGAAAAGCTATGTTCAGAAGACAGAGGACATTAGTTAAAGACAATGTCTTAAATGCCCAAAGTTTGTGACATTCAGAGAAAAAAATACTAAGATTAAAAAACATGCTTGAAACAACACAAGTACAAAAATTCTCAGATTCCTGTAGCCTCCCACATTTAGTTGGTTTAAAATACTTGGCAGCTATTAAAATATCAGTAATGGATGCAGTGACTATTTTGAGAGGGAAGGTATGCCTTGGGATGAGATTTAGGCACCCAGTCACGCTTTAAAGAAAATCTTTTGGTAAACTTCTAAGGCAAATGCAGCCTTGACTCCTTGCATAGGGGAAGACATAGAATTTCAATAGGAAGTAGAAGCCAAAACATCAAAATGTGACATGGAGCATCCTGGTAATAAAGGGGAGATGTGAGATTCCATAAAATAGATTTGAGGGATAGTAAACAAATTAGTTCAGTTGAACTAGAGTTCATGTGGAAGTTGTTGTTAAATACTATCAAGGTGACTCAAATTCATACAGACCCTACATAGGGTTTCTGAGGAGCAGTTGGTGGGTTTGAACTGCTGACCTTGAAGTTAGCTAGCTGTTCAGTGCTTATCTTACAGAGCCACATCAGAACAAGTACGTGGGGCAAGGCTCATGGGTTAAGTGAAGGCCAAATAGCAAAGGGCTGGAAATGTCAGATAGGGAGTTTGGCCAGAATCTGTCTATTTAAAACCTTAAGTAAGTCTGCTTTTTGATCTATCCTTTTATTACCTGAGGAACCGTAGTGGCACAATGGTTAATCACTCAACTAGGAACTGAAAAGTCAGCAGTTAGTCCAAATCCACCAGTCATTCCATGGAAAAAAGAAATGACAATCTGTTCCCTTAAACATTGTATTGTTGTTGAGTGCTGTTGAGTTGGTTCAGACTCACAGCAACCCTATATAGGGTTTTTGAGGAGCAGCTGGTGGGTTTTAACCACCAACCTTATGGCTATCAGTCCAGGGCTTATCCTCCAGTGCTACAGCAGGATTACAGCCTTGTAAACTCTGTGGGGCACTTTTACTTCATCCTATAGATTCACTATGAGTTAGAATCAACTCTACAGCACACGACAATAACCTGTACCACCAAACAATGTACATACCACTCACTTGCATATATTAAGATATTAGCATTTCAGTTACTGGTGGAACGAAATCCAAATTTTACAAGAGGAGTGATCACCTTCTCTCAGAACAAATTTTTACTGCCCTCCAAGAGTTTCTTTTTGAATATCCCTTTAGATGTATCTCCCACCAGTTGTGGCTGCTAGGTGCCATCCAGTACAGAACAAACCACTGCCAGGTCTATACCATCCTCACAATTGTAAGTCTGAGCCCATTGCTACTGCCACTGTACCAATCCATCTCATTGTGAGGCTTCTCTTTTTTTTGCTGACCCTTCACTTTGCCAAACATGATATCCTTTTCCTGATCAGATGTCCAAAGTATAAGAGATGTAGTCTCACCATCCCGGCTTCTAAGGAACATCCTGACCACACCATACTTCTTCCAACACAGTTTTGTTTGTTCTTCTAGCAGTCTATTTTTGTTGTTAAGTGCCTTCAGGTCAATTCCACCTTACAGCGACCCTGTATAGGTTTTCCGATGAGCAGGTGGTGGTTTGAACCACGACCTTATGGTTTGCAGTCCAGTGTTGATCCTGTAGTGCCACACCAGGAGTCCATGGTACTTTCAATATTCTTTTGCAAAACTATAACTCAAGCACATCAATTCTCTTACAGTCTTCCTTATTCACATGCATATGAAGCTACTGAAAATACCCTTTCTTGGGTCAGAAGCATCATAGTCCTCAAACTGACATCTTTGCTCTTCAACACTTTAAAGAGGTCTTGTGCAGCAGATTTACTTAATGCAACAGAATTGTTCTTGACTGTTGTTTCCATGAGTGTTGATAGTGAATCCAAGTAAAATGAAGTCTTGGACAACTTGAATCTTTTTTCTGTTTATTGTGATGCTATTTATTGGTCTAGTGGGGAGGATTTTTGTTGAAGTACAACTCATACTGAAGGCTGTCATCTTTGGTATTTCAAATCCTATTTGCTTTCAGCAAGCAAAGTTGTTTCATCTGCAGGTTGCAGGTTGTTAATGAGTCTTCCTCCAATCCTGATGCCACATTCTTCTTCATATAATCCAGTATCTTGGATTATTTTCTTAGTGTACAGATTGCATAAAGACAAGTATGGTGAAAGAATACAACCCTGGCACACACCATTCCTGATTTTAAACCGTTCATTATCCCCTTGTTCTGTTCAAATGATTGTTTCTTGGTCTATGTATAGGTTCCTCATGAGCACAATTAAGTGTTCCGGAATACTCAATCTCCACAATGTTCATGGCTTGTTCTGATCCACACAGTTAAAAGTCTTTGTATAGTCGAAAAAGAACAGGTAAACATCTTTCTGGTATTTTCTGCTTTAAGTCAAGATACATTTGATGTCAGCAATGATATCCACAGTTCATCTGAATACTGTTCGAACCTCTGAAAGTTTTCTGTCAATGTACAGTTGCAGTTATTTTTAAATTATTGTGAACAAAATTTTACTTGCATGTGATATTAATGATATTTCTGATGATTTTTACATTCCACTGGGTCACTTTTCTTTGGAATGGACACAAGTATGAACTTCTTCCAATCAATTGGCATAGATGAGTAAATGACTCCAGTGCTGTATCAGTTTCAGTTTGTTGGAAGATTTCAATTTGTTTTCCATCAATTCCCAGGGCCTTGTATTTGTCAATGCCTCAGTACAGCTTGGATTTCTCCCTTCAGTATCATTGGCTCATGATTATATGCTATGTCTTGAAGTGGTTGAACACAGACTGTTTCTTTTTCATCTAGTGACTCATATTTATTCCATTTTCTTTTGATGCTTTCTACATCATTCAATATTTTGCCCATAAAATTCATCAGTATTTCAAGTTAGGGCTAGAATATTTTCATCAGTTCTTTTAGCTTGAGAAATGCTGAATGTGTTCTTCCCTTTTGGTTTTCTAACTCTAGGTCTTTGAACATTTCATTATAGTATATACTTGACTTTGTCTTTTCTAGCTGCCCTTTGAAATTTTCTGATTAGCTCTTTTACTTCCTCTTTTCTCCCATTTGCTTTAGCATCTCTATGATACAGTGCAAGGTCGGAATCTCTTCTGACATCCTTTTTTTTTTTTTTCCACGCAGGCAAATGCATTTTATTTTTATTTTTTAATGTTTTATTGTGAGTTGTGTGATAGTCTACATGGAAGAACATCAGCTTTACATTCATTCCATCATCCATCATTTCGTTGGCATAGTTATCATCCTGTCCATGCATCCTCACCCAACCAAGGGGTGTACCCTGTAAACCTGCACCCCCCC